TAGAGAACAAATCGAATACTTTCACGCAATTTGTTCTGATTATGTGTTCACTGTTGAATGTAAAGTTGAACAGGTAGAATTACCATGAGAACGTCGTTACGAAAAGAGACCAAAACATTGAAATGCACAGGAACCCAAAGAGTTATGTTCACATATTTCATCTTTTCATCGCTCTTTTCTTCTCACAGTCTTCATAGTATTCAGTTCATAACTGCTCGTTCAATTGCCAGCACTGAAGTGTCAGTTATTGAAATTTCAAATAGGCTCAAGTCCACTGTTATGAGATCGTACACATGCTAAGTGTATTTAGTGTCTGTTGCATCTGATAGTGTATTTTACGAATCCAAAGACGTGTGTTGAAGAAGTAGACAGTATATCTTATTTTGTGTTAAATGACGAGTGGCAACTGCAATTGCTGATGTTGCTTATTTTAAACGAAAAGATTCAATCTGAAGCAACGTTTTCTGAAGCGACATGCTTAAACTTACTATAATGAATTTCGATATGCTAGAAAAGGCGTAGCTCTTCGACATCAGTTAGTTGTGATAATGTAGGACTCGAGTGAAATGGGCTCACTATTCTTACTACCGCCAAAACTGACCGGTGTGCAATGCTCTATCTCGGGCAAGACAATACTAAAAATTTGCAAGGACTGGAGGTATGTAAAAGCAAGATCGGCATTTACCTGGTGGGCACACGCTAGACAGATATTAAAAGATTTCGCGGGTCTCCCAGATATTCAGTGCTCAATTGTAACTACCGCAAGCGTGCCGCGCATGTGATTCCGTGGACGCTCGTGAAAACTGCCGCCCCCCGGTGGCGCCTCAGCGGTGGTCCTGGTCACCATCAAGCCGGTTTTGGAGCACACAGTGGGTGCCGTACCTCTGCACTTTTTCATCTAGTGGCAGTGTATGAAGAAACCATGCTATATATGGCTGTATATTACCTCATAAAAGAATAGGCTCCGTCAGATATACATCCATTTATGGTAAACGGAATCCACATATGCAGACAGATATGCTTATCTGTGGCCACATATAACTAATACAAGTGCCATCTATGGCATTTCCATAAAGGTTTCACCGCGCTCACCAGTGGCTGCTCATTGGTTCGGTCTACCTTGTCTTGGAGATCGCCTTCCTCCTAGATATTTGACAGTGGTTGGTGCATGAATCGGATAATTCGCAATACTTTATTACAGCAGACATGCAGAGGCTCTCCACACACCTCGCTGCAATCCCGAATGTAGGTCACGCCATTTATGCGAACTACATCACGATCTGGACACTGGGTGGCCCTCTGGCTGAGATCGAACACTCCTTAAAAATTGTGTGTAGAATACGAAAGGCTTTCTTCCAAACACAGGCCTTCAACTCTGCCCTGATACGTCTGAGCACCTGTTATACCGACTGTCTAGACACGGGCTTCGTAACCTTGCGCCTCTGAAAATTCTGCCGTTAGAAATTTGATCTAAAACTTGACAGGTCATAGCGAGGAGGCATTCCGTAAAGATTCTAGGTCTCCTCATTGATGCCAGGGGCTGTAACTTGAAGGCGCTCAACAGGCTCACGGGGCAGGCAAGTAATGTACTAAGACTTGTAGCCTACGTTTCAAGTCGCACAGGTTGCTTCAAAGGGGAATTTTTTGATCAGAGCTTACCAGTCATTCTTTCAAACGCATGTTATTTACGTCTTGCCGTACTTTATTTGGGCTAAAGCGGAGAATGCCAAACTCATTTCTCTAATCATAACAGAGGTCAAGTGCGTGCTCGGCTTTCCACAGTCCACCAGCACCGAGAAGCTATTAGAGCTATGACTCCACAACGCTATTGACGAGCTAATAGAATCTCACACATCTGCTCAAAGAACGAGTCTTTCAACTACTAAGCCAGGGATAAAGCTTTTAGAAGAAGCGGGTATTCAGCCTCGACTTCAACTGGTGACGAAAGTTTACTTGTCTAGAGAAATCCGCACTCCAGTCATGATTGACCCCGTACCGTGTAACATCCACCCAGTGCATAAAGAGAATAGAAGAGTCGAGAAAGGCCAAGGCCATACTCACAAAAATAATCAGCATAAACTCAAAGCCCTCTTTGTCAATGCTGCCAGATTGCACGGTGGGGATAAGTTCACTATTTCGGTCGTTGACGCGGAAGCTAACCTGGTCATTGCAGTCTTTGTTTATACAAAAATTGCCAATGTGGCAGAGGAAGCGCTAATCACTCTGGCTTTTCACAACGCAAAAGTCCCCGACACTGTCTTTTCGGACTCGCGTACGTCAGTCAAATCTTTCTCGAACGCCCTTGTTTCAGAACAGGCAAACAGTATTGTGGTAAAAGCACTTCAACAAACCCGGGAGTGCAGCGAAGGAGGGTACCACATCGTGTGGTTTACAGCCCATCTAGATGGCTCAGTTAACCCACTCAGATGTATCCCTAACGAGCAGGCTCACCGGATTGCGCGCGATTTCACGTGCCGTGCTGTCACGAATATCCATGCTCCTAACAAGGTCGACAATTGTAAAGATCCGTTGTCTCCTTCACACAATTTTTTTTCACTACCATCTGGCCAGAAAATATTTGAAGCCTCCCACCCCGATTTGACCAAGCCTCAGACGAGCCCATTTAGATTACCTCAAACCTGTTCGTATCCTATCCCTAAATCTTTTAACTGAATAGTACCCGACCATTCACAGTCGTGCCCCCGAAGTGGCCATGACTCATGCTCTTTTACTCCCAAGCTCTGGCTGTGCCCAGCTCTTAACGCCTCAGCGACCATCACGACGAAGCAACGGGGTGCATCTGTAAAGAGCAGCAGCCTTCATACAGGACTGCAGACCATCGAGAGGGCCCACGACATTGCGACCGAACTTCGACTTTTGGTCTCATCGTAGGTGGCGCCACCGACTTGGTATGGTGGGAGGCTTATGGCTCCCCTAAATATCTGTCCCTCTTGACCTAAATACAGTTATTGTGATGTCATGCTATGCTTTTTTTAACCTGCCTCGGCAACGCACTCACACTGACTGCTGGCCGGCTCGGTGCCGACGACTTAGCGATGTCTTCTGCTTATCGCTTCGAAGTTGTGAAATATCACTTTTCAAGAAGGAAGCACAAACGATGACACCAGTTTGATTTTGTTACCACTGGCAGCTCTTCATCATTCGGCACAGAAGTGAAGTATGCGTGACGTTCAGGTTTGGAGGCTCGCGCTCAGAAGCACACGGCCGCTCGATGATAAAAGAAACACGAGAGATCCATCAGCTCAACATGACACATAAAGCGCACGCTTCTTGCACTGCCGGCTTCAAGGCCACCAGACAGCAAAAGGCAACGATTTGCGAAAGTCTTCAAGACAGCTTTGCAGCAGTTTTTTTCTTAGAGCAGGCCCTTGTTTCTGTTTGCAGAATGCTTTCTTCACTCGTACTTATGCAGCTCCAGTTCCATTGAAAATGTGTTGGCTCAAGTTAAGCCATGAAGCACAATAAAGCAATACCAATTGTTGAAAAAAAACATGTGTGGTGGGTGCATACCTTCACGATTTTTGAAAATGGTACTCGGGGGAGGGGGGGCAAGGGCACTGAAGCAGCTGCAGCTGCACATGATAATAAACTTTAGAACGATGATTAAAATTATGTCATAAAAACTCCCCACGAGGTAAAACTTGATGTTCATATCCTTTTACTACGTGCTCTAAAGGTGTTGGTATAACTATAACTATGGCATCCAGCGTCTTTTATTTCAACACGAAGTAGTAATTTAAAAGCGAGAGAGATTACAAAGGTCATGAGCCACAACAATTCCTTTCTCGGATATTTTTTTCTCACAGTGTAGGGTTCGAATATGCTCCCTTCACATACACAGTGGACTAGTACAGCACTGTGCCCCTGCTATCCTCGTTCGCTATTCGTAAGATCACTAGTCAGCGTCCGAACACGCCGTTCGGCTTCACTTGTGCATGTCACATGCACAGAGCACCGCCGGCTATGAAGGGCTTGTCGATAATGGAAACAGCTCTATCTTTTATATTGCACAGCTCGAAAATTAAAAAAACTCCGCATATCTCAGGTAATGAGGGAATTAAGGTTTCGAAAGCACGCGAAGGAAGTGGATCGTGTTGTAATTCTTTAAATCGGCGACACGTTATGAAATGACGCTAAATATGTGTGCAAATGTTGCACGCACAGCCATATGTCGAATAGTCACAGAAGTTCATTTAACCAGCTATTTACACTTGCGTAACAATGCCAACAGGAACATGAGAATTAGCAACACAAGATGCGATGAGCTCATATAAAGCACTAGTACTCGCGTTGATAACAGCCTAGTGCACTGCTACATAAATAAAATTCTACAGATGGCATCTAACTACAGTCGACGCTAACTCCTCGGGGCTGCTGTATTAGGAAGTTCACATGTAATGTCCATATAATTGCATATTATAACACTGCAGCAACAACTCACGTTTCACAAACTTCAGGGTCTATTTGAAATGTAGTTTGGGAGTCCTGCCGTGGTTTTGTCTTAAAATACCTGATGCCTCACAAAATCCTGTGGTTCGATTCCTGGTGGACACAGACAATTATTTTTTGCATTCGTCAGGTCAACGCTGCCGATGTTTGCTTTTTTTCTGAAGGCTCAACATTAAAAGTACCGATGAGTGTTCACGCCCTTTCTGGTTAGATGCTGAGTGTCAATCACATGTGACACATGCCCACATACTGGTGGCACATACCAGCCTAAGGGTATGTGACACTGTCTAGCGGGTGGGTGAGTTAAACAAATTTAGTGTAGACCGGGCATAAAGGGGAAGAGGTAGGGGAAATAAAGCAAAAAAGTGTGCGTAATTGTGCGAGTATGGGTTTGGTTGCATGTGTCTGTGCGTGTGCATGATTGTGCGAGTGTTCATGTGTGTTTGTTTGGGCGCGCGCGCGCCTATAACGAGCGTATGCATGGTCGTGTGTGTTCTGAAAAGGCATATGCAGTTTTGCTTTTATCGCAGCATTACCGTCGACTTCAGCACCAACGAAAACACATGGGCAGTAATAATTGCATCATCCTCTATGTTTCTGAACCGTATCTGCTTTGACCAAGGTACTGTCCAGCGTTACCTGGCGTCCAGAACTCTTGAGGAGGCGAAATTGTGAGTGCTGCTATTATTATAGGTGACGAAAAATTTCTCTTTTTTTAATTGTTGACATTTCATTGCAACTTGACGAACTGAAGTGAAAAAAAAAAAAAACTAAGGGTGGCGTAAATGATGGGGTCATAAAAGCTGCAGCAGTACATACATTCCCGCCAAGGCTTGCTCACTTCAATGAATTATTCAACAACATTCATTTCGCCATGAATATTCAAATATGAGAAAGCTGTGGCCACCATTTCAGTAGCAGTGACAGTGATTTGTTACGTCGTTCCTGCTTACAGACGTGGTTGATACTTTTGATGTTCACCTATTTTGCAAATACACACAAATACAATACGTCTTACTATTGTACGAAATAAAGAGTTTTGCATAAGCTTAATTAAACACATATGAGAATTTGCATAACAATCACACAGAAAGTCAAAGTAAGTTTTTGGTAGCAATTGTGAGGACGCCATCAATTTGTTTGTCTAGATCATAAAGTGTTGTTGGCATTGTGTACTCATGCGTTTATTTCCATGTAATGTATGTTAGAGAAAAACAAAGCATGGTGTGCGATATCAAAAAGGATAAAAAATTGTAGGGTTGCGGCTTCGGCGATTCGGTTTATGCCTAAATGAGAGAAAAAAAACAACGCAAAGCCAGTTGTAAGTCCTCGCTGTTGTCGTGTCTTCAGCTTGTGTTTGTCCAAGTTTTGCGCAGTTTTTTCGTCTTAAGTGAGCATTGTAGTTCCCGTATTGTTTGGAAGTTTTTCAAACAGATCCACTCTACTAGAGTAGGCACTTTTGTGGGTCCGTAATATTGTATATTCTTATACAGGTGTAATCAGCATAATTTATGTTTTTGAAGATGAGCTTTTCCACGTTCCAAGAACCAGAACTCTCTAATGATGGAAGGGTGTGAAACTTCGATTGAAGTGATCGAATGAAGCAGTTGTATTGTCCTATATGAGTACGCGTTATCACAACAGTTTGGACATAGATAATATAACAAGAGTTTGAACATAAAAACAAGAGTTTCGACATAAATATAACATTTTTTAACGTTTACCGGGGAGGTGTAACGACTCCGGTATACGTATCCTCTCTAGCGTACAAAATTTCGCAGAACAGCCAGTACCCAGCTGCCTTCGAACACCAAACGGTTATTTAGGCTTTCTCTCATACGGGCCTTGATGGTAATTAGTCGGCCGATGCCGATGCTCACGCACGCACTCTCCGGGCACCATTCTCTTCCCATCCCGATTTGGACCTAAAACCTAATCCCGCCTAAACACTTAAGGAGGTCACTCAGTTGTATTCATTCGGCCACAAGATCTATCCCAAATCCTTTAAGGGCCTCACAAAGGTGGAGGGGTGCACCCACCTTCGCCTTTACACCAAAACTTTATTGTGCCCGGCGATCCTAAAACACTTCAACTCCGCTTGCGCAGGGAAGTGCCCGCACTGTGATGATAACTAGTCTGACATTTTCCGCGGGATGTGGGCGTGTCAAGAGCTCCCAATCTTATCCTTCTAACGAACCATTGCCGCAAAGACTGGGAGGCAGCCCTGCTCAGCTGCTCTGACGAGGTGGCCCGACGGGCCTTGGTTGAACGTCGCCAATGGGTTCCCGTAAAGGGGTGCCCACCTAGTGTTTGTACGAGGCGTGGACTGCTCCCCACTCTCCCATTACGTACCTAACAGAATTAATTGTTTTCCTTCATCATCATCTGGCATAATACATCAGCAGATTAACTTATTTTGGTAATATATATTTTACATGTTCATTCCAGGACATGTCTGCTAAAAATGTTTCCGAAAATTTATTAATGTTTTGTATATTACTTTCAAATGGTCAGAGCAATAACTGGTCATTCGTTGTATCTTAGAATCCTGAAAGAAGAAACACTTGATTTTGTACTTATTGGGTATAGGCCTATTCTGCTGGCACCTTATCTGCAAGTTCTAAGAAAGCGGACTTCACTTTTCTCTTCATGTATAGCAAAACAACTTTCCTCAGTGAGAACGAATCAATTGCCAGCGCTTGTAATATATTACCGTTGTCATAAGCTTTCATATAGGTATTGTTGTAAAAAACAAAGAAAGTTGTTCCCAGTATGCTGCTTTCTGGAACCTTCAATTCAATCGACTTAGGTTGGAAGTTGACGTACTGACGACGTGCTTCTTAGTCAGATTAAACAAGTTTTAGTTTTGCTCCATGGGAGCCATAGTGATCATTATTTTTAGTGGTATCCCCATTGCAAAAACCAGCGCCACTGGGTACCAGCATCCAGTGCCACGCCTGATTATGGGCCCAGTATGGCGCTGGGACCAGCTCCTCCCAGTGCAAGTACTTGGACGCTAGTGTGGCAGCGTCCCAGTACTCTGCGCAAAATGACTTCACAGGGTTAACCTACCGAGTACAATGGCCACCTACATGAAAGCGTGTAATTTCACTTCCTTGTGCAAACTGGCTGCTTGTATCAAGAATACAGGACGGCTTTGTGGGAAGTGATACTCGTGGTAAATGCATTGAATTATTGTGAGAGATTTCACTCTGTCAGCCATGAAATGGTGTTTTTCTTAGCAGCACTTTTCAGTAAACTAAGATTGAAACCAACAGACGCCTAACTCAAGCCACTGATCAACTCTTATCATGCTCAGCTGCAAACCCACAACCCAGCTAGTTATTTGATTTCACCTGCACTTTTCATCAATGAATGCTGCTTCCTCCTGTGCAGTGGTCTTTTCTTACGAAGCTGCCTGCACAGTGACCGTGCGACTGCTACAGTATTGCTGTTCACATTACTTCTTGCTAGCTAGCCTTACATTGTCTTCTTGTTAGATGTAGAAAAACCTGATCGTGTTTTTTAGCGGAGAAGTTCCTTCTGGTCTAGCAGTTTGTCTCTCAAACGTAGCCAACACAGCATATCCACAGGCAGAGACAAACAGACGGGCGGATAGACGCATTGCACCACTCATATTGATTCACTCCGTGGATATGCTGTAATTTGTTTATTTGTACTTTGTCATATATCTGTATTGTTGTTGTACTAGATGTATTTCTTTTTTGTTTCTAATGGTTTTGGTAACCCTTGAAGTCATATCAATACATCCCAGCCGCCACAGCGCGGCTGCATAAAATGAAAGAAGGAACAAGTCAGTTTTGATTGGTGCTGGAGTGGCACCATCGTGCTCGCCGACTTCTGTACAATGTAAATAGAATCATAAAGCAGTTTCTCGTAACAACATCATATACCTGTGTCCTATCCTGCGAAAACTCCTAATGGTATTGCAGTATTTGTAAATAATGAATGTATGTTTATCGAAGCTTGCATTATTTTCTATTCGGATTTATTGTGTTGAAATTATTATATTGCAGCGCCTTCTAACAATTTCAAGTTTTATGATAGAAATTTCTTAGAGACCTCAAATAATTGCATCGCCATACATCATTGCTGTGCTTTCGAAAGCACAACAACGTACACTGTATTTGTTCATTGGAAAAGTGTGCAAAGTTGTGCTTCTGGGAGCTTACGCAATGTTTGTCTTCGGCGTTACACTGTATTGCACGCGTTGCAGGACTCTTATCGTTGGGACCCTCATGACATGCGCCTACTACGCCTTGTTAACAGGTGCCGCCATAGCTCTCACCTGTAAGTATAGCGGCTGCGATCCCCACCTTCTTGGCTCTATTGAGAGAATTGACCAAGTGAGTATATTTATTTTGAATCTTTAGTAACAGGGACACTAAAAGCAAATATAAGGCCGACGTATAATATTCCATTATAGCATTTCTGAAACGTTGTACAGCTTGAGCAGCTACCATGAAAGTGCTTAGTTTAAAGGAACACTGCATTTTACAGCCAAAGCTGTAAAGTCTAGGGGAAACAAAAGTACCATTAAAAACGAGTTTTCATAACGCTCCCCAAAAGCTGCGTCATCAGTTACGTCATTCTGTATATTTCTACGTCGTGCGCCATTGGCTGCACAATTAGGGCTGCGATTTTCTGCGTCATACCCAAGCATGCATGCCATTGGCTGCACGTCAGCGCGATTATTCCTTTCTTCGAAACCGTGCTGCCGAACGCACGCGCAGCAGTTCGGCAGCACGGTTTCGGCAGCCCCCCCCCCCCGAGTACCATTTTCAAAAATCGTGAAGGTATGCACCCACCACAGATGTTTTTTTTTTCAACAATGGTATTGCTTTATTGTGCTTCATGGCTTAACTTGAGTCAACACACTTTCAATGGAACTGGAGCTGCATAAGCACGAGTGAAGAAAGCATTCTGCAAACAGAAACACGGGCCTGCTCTAAGAAAAAAAACTGCTGCAAAGCTGTCTTGAAGACTTTCGCAAATCGTTGCCTTTTGCTGTCTGGTGGCCTTGAAGCCGGCAGTGCAAGAAGCGCGCGCTTTAGGAGTCATGTTGAGCTGATGGATCTCTCGTGTTTCTTTTATCATCTAGCGGCCGTGTGCTTCTGAGCGCAAGCCTCCAAACCTGAACGTCACGCATACTTCACTTCTGTGCCGAATGATGAAGAGCTGCCAGCGGTAACAAAATCAAACTGGTGTCATTGTTTGTGCTTCCTTCCTGAAAAGTGATATTTCGCAACTTCGAAGCGATAAGCAGAAGGCATCGCTAAGTCGTCGGCACCGAGCCGGCCAGCAGTCAGTGTGAGTGCGTTGCCGAGGCAGGTTAAAAAAAGCATAGCATGACATCACAATAACTGTATTTAGGAGCTGAGAATTCCTTCTTCTAAGCAACGCGTGACGCGATTATCATAGAATGAATTAGCAGCAGACAAAACTCTTTTAACAAAAATACTGATCTCGCTCAATGCAAGAACATACGTAAAGCATTTCGGAGGAGCCACGCAACAGTTCCAGATAGAAAGAGCGAAAAACCAGCAAAAAATGCTCCGCGAATGCCACACAGACCCTCCTGCCAGCCGGAGTGAAATACCTGTAAAACGTTAGCCCCCTATCTGCATGTTACACCGCAAATGCCGTCGAAAAACGATAGTCTTGCGTCTGCAGAGAGTGTACAAAACGTTTATTTGATGTTCTGCGCAAGAAAATTGGTGAATGGTATTCTGGAGGTGCTGCGTTGGAGTGCCTCGAGCGTGCAGCGGAGGCGAACGAGCGCATAAAGTCACGCCACACGTGAAACATGAGCGCTAGCTTGCAGTAATCCTAGAAAACAGGGCGCGCATGGTGCGCGCCCATCTCTGCGGTGATAAGGGGTTAAACGCAAGGCGACGAGTAGGTGCCACCCCCGTGTCGTCTTAGCAAAGCTTTGGAAACACTTGCCCTGTCGTGCAAGCGTCGCATGGCCAGCGCAGCGTTATAAAGGCTACGATCCTTAAAAAAACCTATGTATGCGTTTTCTAGTAAAAATTACACATACATAATATTCACTTGTTGTTATAGTGCCTCAGATATGCGCAATAATTGCTTTTTAATTGACAACAGTCGCATAAGTATGAACGCTGAATTTTGAGCCATATTGATGGGCGCTGCAGAAGGGGTCGGCCGTTTGGAGAATCGTTTGGTTACTTTGGTGCCGTTTAAGGTACCATTAAGGGTGGACAACCAGACAAACGTACACACAGACAGACAGACAGACAGACAGACCGAAATTTTTGCGTTGAAGGTCGCCAAAAAAGATTATCGTCTCTAAAAGTACTGCGGCTGTGCCACGGAACTGCTCCAGTCGTCTGGAGTGAAATATCTGGTAAAAGTACTGTGGCTTCACCATGAAATTCCTCCGGCCAGCCGGAGTGACCATTTTGCTTCGGAGGTCCGGAATAAAAATTGCTCCAAATAGAGGGGGTCACTGGAGGACAAGTGTTTTCCTTCCACTTCAAATAATTTTTTTACAGTACATGCACTTTTACGTAATAAAGTTTCTCATCGCCGCATTGAACCTACAATAGGATCGTATACACATTGTCTATTTTTGTAACAAATATGCTAAATGTGAATTATTGGCTGTTTAAGCATTATCGAAAGACAGCAATTTAAACGGGCTCTTCCCGCATAAGTGATTGCACTCGATCAAAAATAAAAGCGTCTGTTGGACGCACCACACTTTCATCTGCTCGAAAATAACTACCATGAATTCGTGAATTTTCACCCGACATACAAGGTTACTAAAGAAACTGCGAAGCTGGACTAAAATTCTCATCACAGATTTGACAGAAGGTGTGAACACGGTTGTGTCTTCGAGTGAGGGTGCCATGCCGGCCTAAGCACAACCTAAGCACAATTGTGTCGTCTTCAAAGGCGCTCTAAACGACTAAATTTTTTTATTTGACCTTTTCTTCGTCTCGTGGTGTTTATGCATCTCTTTTTGCGTACCTGTATGCTTGTCTTATCGAGCTTGTACAAACAAAATACCTAAGAAGTACATGCTAGAAAAAACGTATTTTGCGTATTTCATATAAACGTATAAAACTTATTTTCATATAAAAATGGCGAAACTCACAGTTCTTGTTTTATTCTTTCTACTGCATGTTAGTGGCGTAGAAAGACGTAAGTATGCAGAATCGCCAATGAATGGTATTAACCAGGGCTAACATGCAGGGAGAAATTACATAAACCTATTTTTTATTCCAAATTTGTCATTTCTCTGTTGTGGTAAAGCTAATTTTATGGTCTCACGCATTTGCTGGCTCATCATGTCACTTAAAGAACTACATTACACACGTGGACAGTCTTTCTTTCAATAACAAGTGCGTAAGCGTTAAGTACTAGGTGCAAATTGAGATGAACAAACGATTTCGATTTCGCGCATTTTTCGCTATTAGCTCTTCACTATAGCAAAAAGACTGCCACTTTACGCGAACATCACCAGTTGGTTTCACTACGTCACATAACCATAAAATCTCGCTCGTCAAATTGAAGAGCTAGTTCTAAACAGCGCCTTCAAATACACGTGGTAAGGTAATTTTCAGAATACCGAAAAAATGTCTCGTTCTCTATGATACGGATGATGGCTGCAATCAATTTCCAGGCGTGTATTACGTGTCTCTGCCAGCAATAACAACTACTTCAACTGCAATAGGCATTTTTCGTGGTACAACAAAGTTGTTCAACGCTTTTAACATGTATATTACATCACTCAGTCAACTCTTCCTCGGTAAAGATCAAGTAAGCCTAATGCACCGTGGTGCAACAGGCAAAACGAAGGGGATTGATAAGACATCCTGACACAAGGTTTCTGCAATGGTGATCCTTCGGACGTCCACTTCACTACTGAACAAAAATGATGTGTGATTTATAAGGATGTGAAAGCGAAGCAGTGCTTGGAACTTCGGTTATGTAGGCCCGTAATCATAAAAGCCTCTTCCGCTAAACTTGTTTGTAAGATAATATGCCAGCCTTTCACTATGCGGCACATGCCATTAGTTTAGCCGGCTAACCAGTGGAAAGCACAATTACTAAACAGAGGTTCTGTGAACTCAGCCCCTGCTAAACATTTTGTTAATGGGCAGAAGTTCGCGATGTGCACTTCGCTGATATTCTACAAAATTTGAGATCCAACTTCGCAATTGGGAAATATTTGTAGCGTTACGCCAACATTCCAAGTTAGTCTCGTGGCTCCACAAAACCATAAATTCTGCCTGCTAAATAAATCCAACCTTAACCCTGATCTCCTACCCCAACAAACAGACAACCCTGCTCAATAGCTCTGCACTAGAGGAACAGTGAACTCTGAGCGACCGGGATTGTGTGGCGGCTTCGAATAATGACGTCCCGGACTAAGGATGTCAGCCAGCTAGGTGGAGATGGGCTATGTGGCCCTTCCAACTTAAATAAATATTTTTTATTCCTTAGCAAAATGAAGAACAAGTGCAAACAGCGGCTCCGCATACTCGTGTCTTATACCTTGTCGAGCTGACGTCCTGCTGAACACGCAGCTGATGCACTCTTGAGTAGTTGGCAAACTTCTTTTTTAGACAAAATTTCTGGTACCGTATACGAACATGAAACAAAAATTGTTGAAGAGATTCTTAAGAGCTTTTTCAAATTTTGTTATTGCGCAAGCTGGTTTCATTCGCATCAGAATTTAAAGGACGCACCGTCTACCAAGGCCGTTACAGGCAATTACATATCTACCCTGCTTCGCACCCCTGTCTTGCCTCCTCAAACATCCAAGCCGTCATTGACAATGGCAGCGCGCTCCTTGGGTTGAGCTCCGCCGGGTCAGTGCAACAGGGATGCAAATAAAAATGAAACCGAAGCTATTACCAGTGGCTAGATCGGGAATATCGAGCTGTACTTTACACCATTTGAAAGGACATTTGCCAGTAGTACAGCTCTTTGTTAACGATGGCTGCACACCGTGTTGCAGAAATCGCTCCACCCAGAGATATTCCTTGTTCTTCGAGTGTAAACAAAGAAAAAAGAGCCTGACAATTTTGTGTATTTAGTAACTACAAAACACCACAACATGAATTTTATGAGAATTTTCATGCACCATTTTTCTTTCAGTTGATACCATTTTTTATAACACAAGAGTTAAGCGGATCAGGCATCTCAGGGATTTTTTTGGCCGGCGTTGTGAGTGCATCAATAAGGTACTCCGCTTTCTTTCTTATGTATTGCCATGTAATAATGTGATAAGGTGATGGCACAACAATTGATTAATCACAGAAATCTATGATGCTTGTCAACACTACTTTTTCTCACTAGTGTACGCACTTGCACGTATTCCTGAAATTTCTTATGAACAGGTTCCTGAAATAGCGAAACTGTAAAGCAGCACTGTGCTAAAATGGTATGGAAAGGCAAATCATTTCATTGCGAATGTTTGTTCTTGTTTGTAGGTAATAATTAGAACAATAACCTTACACCCATACCATAATAATAATAACACAAGTCATAACAACAATAATAAGAAAAATATGTTGTATGTTCTTCACGTCGCACGCGAAGAAGGAAAGTACGGTCGTTTCCGTCACATTGAATACCTTGGTTTTACATTCCCACGTGCTCATGACGCTGAACAAGGCAGCTTTCGGCATGTTTATGACGAGACTCTTCATTTCAATTAACTTTTTCCAGGAAATGAATGGCACCCAAAGCATGATGACATCCGCGTATCAGACGTTGAATAATGTAATTTGCAATACTGCTTTTATGCGTGTAGGATAGTAGTTTCTAGCTTTATTATAGGTTGCTGCATCAATTCTAGAATATATTTAACTGTTCTTGTTGCGCGCTTCAGCCTATAAGAAATATCGAAGGCTCCCAGTCACTAGAACGCGATTGGCGCGTTGCAATTGTTATACGTTAAAACACTATATATTCGCAGATTTTTGGAGTTAATCTACTTGTTTGTTTTGTTTTGCTCGTTTTGCTTACACTTGCTGAGCTTTGTTGCGTAATGTTTATAATTAGGTTTATATATATATATATATATATATATAATTTTTGTTTATTTATGTCTTTATATTCTTGGACTTCCATTTGGGTGACATTTTCGTCATTGATTTCCGGTACAGAATGTTATTGAAACTGGCGAGCGCGAAACAACGTACTTGAGGATAAGTAACTATGAAAAAATTAAAATAAGTAAGAGCAAAGTACAAGGCACCGATTCCATCAGTGGCTTACGATGGTTTACTTGGCCAGAGAAGAGACATGCTGAAATATAGTGAAGAAAAAAATGAAAGTCCCTGATTAAACCAGAGCCTTTGCAGGCAGTGGTTGGGCTGTGTCATATGTGAAAAGCAGATTGGATGGATGCTTTTGTGTGTGTCATATTCTGACACCTTTCTTCCTGCACGTAAAATTCTGACTTACTTGCTTAAATTTATGGGGTTCTATATAACAGCCAAAGTGCTCTAATAGCGCTTTTTTGGACACGCACGAGCAGTTTTAACTACACTAAATGTGCTCTCGCGAGTTCCGGCGCGTTCCGATGGTGGCGCAAAAGCGTGCGCATCGTGTGGAAGATACAGCAGGACTAGCAAGCACACTGGCGAAAGGGGTCGATGACCTGCGCGCCACTTCTCCTCAGGTACAGGTAGTGATATGCATGACACTGGAGGTACCGGTGCGTGACAGCAGCCTGCAAAGAACGGTTGTCAACGCAAAGTAATAGATAATGAAGATGAGTCGAGAGAAAAGCTTTGAGGTGGTGGAAATAAATAGATAGGTGCATAGGTGGGGTGGTTTTCAACGAGACAGAATTCACTTCGATGGGCGGCTAGATCATGAGGTGGGCTGGCGACTTGCAGGACGCGAAGTAGCTTTCTTGGGGGGGAACGCGGGCCCTTCGGGGTGCAGGATAGCTAGTAACGAGGAAAACGACGAGGGAGACTCCTTGACAGGTGGTATGAACAGATACGCTTCCGAAGTGGCACCAGTATCTAAGATCGGTAGAGTCCGGGGCAGAAATAGACGCAGCAACGAGCACCGATCCGATTCAGACATAGGGTATATTACTATGCAGGGTGGCAGGAACAGGCTGAAGTGTGAAGAGATAGAAGAACAGCTAAGGGAGGAGAGGCCGTTGGTATACGTTTTTGTCGAAACACATATTAGGGACATGGAACAACCATCTAACAATTCGGACTACACGTTGGAATATTGTAATAGAACAGAGGCAGCAGATAGGGGAGTGGTATCGGGGCATTCATTCATAGAAGTTATGACTGGCAAAGGGTCAAGCAGGAGTGCGAGGAACATTTATGCCCAAAAGGGAAAGTGGCAGGGCAAACAACACTTCTTGGTTTCGTGTACTTATGGACGGGAGCAAAGGCCAAAGAGGAAAACCAGCCAATGATAGAATGTATATCAAATGACATTAAGGAGTTAGGAGGAGAGTGGCAGATTATTATACTAGGAGATATGAATGCGCAAATAGAAGATATAGTTGAGTATACCAACCCGACAGGTAAAATGATCTTGGGTATGTGTGAAAAGCATGATTTGATCATTTGCAACTGTACCGAAAAGTGTGAAAGGCAAATAACTTGGGACGTAGGAAGGCTGCAGTCGACGATAGATTACGCACTGATGTCACATAGGATGTATGATAAGCTCAGGGGAATGAACATAGATGAAAGTGACTCCAGAAGTCTGGGTAGTGATCACAAACGTATCAAGCTAAGTTTTGGAAGAGCAGTGAAAGTGGGAAAGAGACATGATGAGCAACTACAGGAAAATTTGTACTCAGAAAGGCAAATAGAAATAGCTACTAAACCAATAGAGAAAGTAATCACTGAGGATAACATAACAGTGTGGACATACATGAATCTAATTAGACTGTTTGAGCGAGAGCTTGCTATGGCATGTGACAAGTCACCCAGAAACAGAAGACACAAACACAAAAGTTGTGGGATGAAAAAGTTAAGAGAGCCATAGCAAAATGTCGGAAAGCCTCTAGGGAACACAGACATGCTAAGCAGCGATGTGAACCGACTGACGACATTGAAAGAAAATGGGAAAACTTTCTAAGCTGTAGAAGAAATGCATCCCTTCGGATCAATGAAAAGATTAGAAGAAAGGGAGCTCAGTGTCTGGCAAAAGTACATAAAAAAGATACAAAGGCAACTTCGAAATTCCGGAACCATCTAAACTTCCTAAGAAATGAGACAAGCCTAGAGCAGAGGTTTATAACTACCGCTCAAGGTGCTAGGCAAGAAGGGGACGAAGCTAATGAATATATCAGAACAAGGGTGACAGAAAAATTTCAACAAAGAAGCGCTTTATACACCGTGATAGACAAGAATGAATCAAGTTGCGCAATGCTTCATTTCCAAAACGAGAGTGGGAAAGGGCTGAGAAGATGGTTCGTAGTAGTACAATAACAAGCCCAGATAGCATTCCAGTGATGCTGATAAAGACATTAGGTCCGAAGTCTGAGCAGGCTTTAAGAGAGGCAGTGAGCAAAATAATAATCGATGGTGAAGTCCTATCTGGATGGAAACTTGGCAGGATGAGCATGATCTATAAACGAAAGGGGGACAAAGCTGACATAAACAACTACCGGCCTCTAACACTGACATCAGTGGTCTACAGGCTAGCGATGCAGATTATGAAAGAAAGAATGCAGGCATCGATGGAGGATGAGAGGGTGCTGGGGGAACTGCAGAATTGGTTTCGGAAACACAGGAGATTGGAAGACAGTCTGTTCTCATTGACGCAGTGAATCGAAATAGAAGAAAAGGAACACAGGCCCCTGTGGCTAGCCTTTTTGGATATCAAGGGAGCGTACGATAGCGTGGTTCAAGAGGAATTGTGGTGAATACTGGACGCCCTAGGCGTTGAACATGTAGTCACTAATATTTTAAAGGATATCTATAAAGGTAACAAGGTAGTGATAAATTGAGAAAAACAGGTATCCAAGCCTGCACAGGTAAAATGGGGGCTTAGGCAGGGGTGTTCCCTGTCACCCTTATTATTCACGATGTACCTACAAGGAGTATAGGCCAAATTAGGGGAAAATTGGACTGGGCTTCAACATCTCTTTCGTCAAACAACAAAAACTTATTGAACAGGCACTACCAGCATTCATGTACACAGATGATAGAGTGCTAATGGCCGACAACAAGGAAGATTTGAAGAGATTGATGGACAGCTGCGGTAATGAGGGAGATAGGTTAGATTTCCAATTCATAAGAAAAAATCAGCTGTGATCATTTTTTATGATAATGAAGGTAGTGAGTTTAGAATACAGGAGGTCAGGCTAGAGATAACAGATAAAAAAATATCTGGGCGTATGGACAAGCAATGGAGCCGAGTACCTAAGTGAACACGAAATATACGGGACGACTAAAGGTAACAGGAATGCAGCGGTGATAAAAACAGGGCACTGGATTTACAATAGGTAGCATATTGTGAGAGGGATATGGAAAGGGGTGTCGGTTCCTGGTCTGACATTCGGCAATGCGGTCTTGTGCATGGGATCAGAAGTTCAAGCAAGATTAGAAATTAAGCAACGTTGAATAGGTAGGCTTACTTTAGAAGCTCACAGGAATACACCAAATCAGGGAGTACAAGGTTATATGGGATGGACATCATCTGAGGGCAGGAAAGCTAGCAGCAAGACAAAATTTGAAAAGCGATTGAGAGAAATGGGGGAGGAACGTTGGGCTAGGAAGGTATTCAGCTACTTGTACATGAGGAATGTCGATACAAAATGGAGGAAGCGGACCAGAAAATTGACTGGTAAATACTTAGACAGAAGGGGGCCAAACTAAAAAAACAATTATCTGTTAAGAAGAAAGTGAAGGAAGCTAAGACAGATATGTCAAGAATTGGCATGATTAAGAAGTCCGCAATAGAGAACTATCGAACTTTTAGGCAGTAAATTGCCAAGGAAAGGATCTATGATAATACTCGGGGTAGTTCTCTACTCTTTGAGGCCAGGACGGGAGTATTGCGAACCAAGACTTATCGGGCCAAATACGAAGGAGTAGACACGGTATGCACTGCGTGTGAAGAGGAAGAAGAAAGTGCGGAACACTTGATAATGTTCTGTAAAAGGCTTCACTCTATAGCTCAGGATGATGGCACAGAGTTTTTCAAAGCTCTGGGGCTTAGGGACAGGGAGGGCAAAATAGACTTT